TTGCTCCAATGCACTTTTGCTCTGTTGAATAAATTAACAATTAAAGCTGGAGAGAATTTAATATTACACTAAGACTTCTACAGTAAAGAGGCTCCTTGCTTCGACAAAAATGCACAGAATTAATCCCACTGAGTGCAGTAAGCCAACACAAAATACGTCCTCCAATTGAACCATTAAACATATAAATTGAGTCAATCTCAGGGGGAGGAGACCACAAAGATGTTAAGTTATTTTAGAAGAAATACATTAGCAGAAGTACAGACAAGCCTTTGAGTGTTACCATAGGAACTACAACCCTGAAATTCCAACGGGTATAACTGGGGCAGGAGGGCAAAATTAGCCCAGAATTAGGGACAGAGTCAGATTCAGTTCAGTGGATGCCCGCTGTGGCCCAATCTTCCCTCTGCCAAAGATTTATTTAAGTTAAAGGGCAGAAGATTTAGAGGGAATGTGAGTAAAAACCTGTTCACCCAGAGGGTGGTGGGAATCTGGAACACACTGCCTATAAGGGTGGGTGAGGCAGAAGCCCCCATAACATTCGAGAAGTGTTGTGACCTGCAATGCCAAAGCATACGAGGCTATTGGCTAAGTGCTGGAAAATGGGACTAGAATAGTTTGGAAGTTGATTTGACCAGAACAGACTAGATGGACTGAAGAGCCTTTTTTCTGTGCTGTAGATCTCCATGAATCTATTTCCTAATTTGGGGAGGCTGGGGGAGGGGCAGCTCTGGTGAGTGAGATTTCTTAAATTTGTTGAAAATATGCGGATAATTTGCAGGAATCCCAATTTGCACATCATCCAACAGACACAAAGGAAGCCATACCTTAATCGATGTCACAGGGGCCTGAATTACTGAAAATGGCCACAAATTCTAAACTCCAAACAGACTTCCTTAAAATCTCTATGACTTAGTATTGTCAGAAGACAACTTAAAAAAAAAATACATTTGAGGGGCTGAAAATAGGTCAGCAAGGATTAACCTGGAAGGGCTGGTTCCTGAAAAATGCATCCAGTTCCTCACCAACATTCCTTAACAAAATTCCAACACTGCTCCAAAAAACTTGAAGCAAACACTCTTTCGCTTGTCCCCATTTTAGAAGTTTTACCTCTACTCTGTTCAGATTTCATGAAGACGTGGATGTCGTGTAGTGCACAGAGAAAAACTCACCATGTGGATTCGCAGCACGTGCCTATTATTGGAGCCAACTTTACCTACACTCCCCAAGAGAGGACAATGCAACAGAATGATCAGATCTTGCAGTATTAATACACACTGGAGAGCACAGAACATATCATACTTGCAGAAAAGTGACCGAGAGATGTCTTCAAAGTGAATGATGCACACGGCACTCGTAAACCAAGCAGTTAAAGAGTGGCTATAAGCAAACGACAATAGGTTCATACGCTGCTTTTTTTTTAAAAGAATAGAGCTGTGTTTAAAATCAGCATCTGGAGGATTGAAGATTTCTAATCCATTCTAAATTTAGTATATCAGCTGCTATTTATTCTCGCCTTTTATGCTTAGCACAGCATTAGAAATCTGTATAATCAGGCTTTCACAGAGATTATCTCTTCAGTGAATACTCCTTGCCAAGATTCCACATTTTATCACCTCCACACCCACAGTTCTCTGCCTCGTTACCGAAAGTAATGCTTTGATATTTCAGCAAAATCCTCAAGAGAATATTTCGCCTATGACATTAATCTATGTCAGACCTCTGAAGAGAATGCAGAATCCATCCAAATTATAACAGTCTTCTGTGCTGATGAAAAGAATGCCTAGAACATTCTTTCACCAGGAAAATATTCTGTTTATTAAACAAAAGAGATGGTGACCCAACCTCAAGCATGCCCCTAAAATGGATTCTGAGGCTCAGAATCATCAGCTATTTCATTGATTTTTTAAATTTATTTCAAAAATATATTTTATTCATAAGATGTCTTCATAAACATGCAGTTACTAAAGCAGTTCGGTTCTGTACAGTTTCACATGGAGAAGCAAACAAATATGGGAGTTTGACTCTATCCAAAAATCAAACCCAAGGCATTTCTTACTCTAAAGAGTATATCTACATATATTTGAGGCATTGGGAGGGTCCAATAACTGAATGAACTCGCATTTACCTTCAGCAGGAAAGACCTTAGGCGGTGGTCTTTCCTTACTGCGCCTTGGCAGCAGCTGCCTCAAGCTTTAGTACGTCCCTCTGGACCTTGGAATGTACCAGTCTGCAACACTCAGTTGAGGTTGACTCTTGGCTCTGGAAGACCAATAAGATTTGGGCAGACCAAAGAGCATCTTTCACTAAGATGATGGTCCTCCATGTGTAGTCAACGTTTGTCTTGGTGTGCATCCCGGTGAACAGACCATTGGGCACAGAGCTGCTTGGGACGAACCTCGAAAGGAACCACTGCATCTCTCTCCAGACTTTCTTTGCAAAGGCACATTTAGTCACGAGATGTGTGACAGTCTCTACCCAACCCCTGCAGCTGCTTCAAGGGCAGCGTGTGGTGGTGCAGACCGGGTGTACATGAAGGATCTCACTGGTAGTGCCTTTCTCACAACCAAGCAACGTTTTGGTGCTTGTTGGAAAGTTCTGGCAATGAGGCATTCTGCCAAATAACTTTGACAGTCTGCTTAGGGAACACCTCAACAGGATCCACCCTCTCCTTTTCATGCAGGGTCTCAAGGACGTTATGTGCTGACCACTTCTGATAGATGAATGGTCAAAGGTGTTTTACTTTGCAAATTTCACCATGAAGGACAGGTGATACGGAATGATCTAACTACTTGGAGCAATCCACAGTAATGAGGACAGTCCCATCCTTTGCAACTCTGGGAACAGGTAGAATATCAGTACATAGTGACACTTGGGGTGTTTGCGTACTGAATGTCTACACACAGCTTGATGCAGCTGCACAGAGAGGTGGCTATTAGGATGAGGACAGCATTGGGTATTTTCTTCCCAACTCTTATCCACAGCTTTGTGCATTGTGACCCTGCGGATATGGTCCATCTTAGACCTCTAGAAGAATTGGAAGATGACTCGGGTAACTACAATGGCACAGGTTCGGGGAATGGGCCAAACCTGCGACACCTACAACAGAGACAGCTCCTCACACCTGATGACCAGGTTTTTACCTGCAATGGAGAGGCAGCAGTGCTTCCATAGCTCAGTTTCTGCCTCATCTTGACCATACACCCCTCTTAAGTTTTGGTGCACGCCCTGGTTCCTCCGTACCAGAATCCCAGCATCTTCAGGTAACCTGTCCCCTGGGTGAAGGGAATGAGGGATTGGTCGGCTCAGTTCCCAAAGACCATGGCCTCACTCTTGCCTCGATTTATTTTGGCTGCAGGGACCAGTTTGAACTGGTCGCAGATGCTCATGAGTCTGCGCACTGCCAGTGGATCCAAGCAGAAAATGGGGATATTATCCATGAACAGGGAGGCTTTGACCTGTAGGCATCCACAGCATGGAATAGCCGTCCCTCTGGGGCTCGCATCCTTCCTGATGGACTCAGCAAAAGGTTCTATACAACATACAAACAGGGCAGGAGAGAGTCGGCAGCCCTGCCTGACTCCAGATCTGACCGGGAAGCTTTCTGATTCCCAACCATTGATTGAGACTGCGCTAGCGATGTTGGTATAGAGCGGTTGGATCCAATTGCAGATTCTCTCCCCAAAGCCCATTTTGGAGAGCAGGTCCCACATGTACGTGTGCAGTAATCTGTCAAAGGCCGCCTCTGGTCCAGGATGATGAGGAAGGCGTCCACCCCCTGTAAGCGATCGTATCCTTGAGGAGCGCGAGGCTCTTGGAGATTGTCCTACTTGGTACAGCACAGGTTTGATTGGGGTGAATGACTGAACCCGGAACAGACCTGACCCAGTTGGTGATGGCCTTTGACAGGCTTTTACATTCAGCAATGAGATTGGTCGCTAATTTCTAATCTCCTCCCTCCATCCCTTCTGCTTGTAGATGAGGGTGATGATACCTTTCCACTTGGATTCACTTATGGTACCTGCCATAAGCATACTGTTGTACACCTCCAGCAGGTTCTGACCAATCAGGTCCCACAGAGCCGAATACAACTCGGCTGGTAAGCTGTCGCTTCCCGGAGTTTTATTCTTTTCTAAGGACTCGAGGGCCTTTGTCAGCTCATCCAGAGATAACGCTGGTCCAGCCTCTCCTTCATGTTGTCATCTACGACCCTCCATGATAGAGGTCAGGAACGACTAGGAGGCCACGCTGTCTGTGGGCTTCCTGTCATACAGTCTGGCATAAAATGATTTACTAATCCTCAGGATATCAGACTGAGGTGTTACTGAGCTAGCTTCTTCCTACAGGCTGCTGATCACAGAGCTCTGCCTGCGCACCTTCTGGAAAAAGAATCGTCAGCACGTCTCATCCTGCTCCTCGGAGCTAGACCCTGGACCCTTTGCCTCCGAGGCAAAGAGTGAGAAGCTTGCTGATTGGCTCTTCACCTCTTGGAGATCCTCCTTGACATTGACCCTCCATTGTCTGTAGCAGGAGTAGATTCTGCATGCTGTTGTTGAGTTTGGACAGTTTTCCCCGTCTCTCTTTCTCACTTTCTGAACACCTTGGAGGACAAAGAATCTTTTGATGTTCCCCTTGACTGTTTCCCACCAGTCCGTTGGAGACTCAAAGAAGGACTTCACAGTTCTCCAAACTGTGTAATCCCTTTTGAGCTTCTCAACGTTTTCTGGGTCAACAATTTCACATTCAGTTTTCACATTTCCTCGGCAGCCCACTGGTGGTCCTGTAGATAACAGTCAGCCAGCAGCAGGCAGTGATCAGAGAGGAACTCTGGCTTGATGTTGGTGGATCTGACTAACAATGTGAGAGGACACGACAGGAGATCTATTCTTGAACGGATAGACCCATCTGGCCACAACCAGGTGTATCTACGCTGCACTCCATCAGCAGGGGTACTGAAGACATCGTGCAACTTGGCAATGAGCTATTGGTCTGTTACTAAGATCTTTAGCTAACAATTTTCAGCT